CAGTTGAAAGAAAGTCACACAGGTTTGGAACGACAGGTAAGTCAGGTGAGTAAATGATGACAGTAAATGATGTCTATCCTTTTTTGTTTTGTTTTGTTTTTCTGCATGGGTTTTGAGGCAAACTTATATTTGGTCTTTCTTTTTTCGCAGTATTTTAAATGTCAGCAAGATAAAAGAGGTGATCGATCACACAAAGCTTGACCCACTGCTTCCTGAAGACATGATTACACCACTGGAACAGCAGTTTTTGACCAGCGAGAAGGTTTGATGCTTTCTCATATATCATGTTATCCACAAACAAGGCATTCTCTAATTAAAAATGCACATAATTTGCACACAATTCCTTTGGATAAATAAAAAAAAAAATAGTTTCAAAGTCCAATGTTTTTAAAGAGGGGATTTTTTGGGGGAAATCTCTTTATATTAGTCCATATTAGACGAAAATTACGATGTTTTCAGTATTTGTAAAATATATTAATCAGGCAAATGTCATATGAACAAACCCCTCATTAAAATATATAATAAAAACTGTTCATTTTATAAGTGCTACCAAAGTGGAGATCAGTGCATGAGAAAAATGATAGCCTTTAAATAAAGTGTAATAAAATAGACATTTAAATGTGCTTTTTGGAGGTTTTCTGAATAAAAATAGCCCAACATCCTAATTCTGTCATTTACTCACCCTCAATATTTTGCAAACCTGTATGAGTTTCTTTTGTCTACTGAACACAAAGGAAGATATTTTGAAGAATGATTGGAGCTTTGGCACCTTTTTTTCTACAATGGAAGTCAATGGTGCCAAACAACTGTTTGGTTCCAATCGTTCTTCAAAATATCTTCCTTTGTGTTCATCGAATGAAAGAAACTCATACAGGTTTGCAAAAACTTGAGGGTGAGGGACAGAATTTTCATTTTTGGGTGGAGTAGTATCCCTTTAAATGTGCTTCCAACACAACGATTAAGTTTTAATTTGATCACATTATTGTTCCAGAGGGAAGTGAGCACACACCTCCGCAACATTCTGGACAGAGAAGAAACAGCCTGGAAGGAGGGAGCACTTCCACCACTGAGGGACCAGGTGTACTGCTGTCCTCAGGCCATTGATGTGATCCAGGTAATGAAAAGAGGAAAAGTAATTAGCAATTCTTTCCCTTCATCAAATAATGGATTTTTGGAGGAACATATTTTTTTCTTTTCCCCTTCCCTTTACAGTGCTTTCATGGACATGTTGAGAATACTCAAAAGATGCTAGGCGATGAGACCAAAGCGATGAAAATCACATGCCAGATGAGCACTTTTCTGAAAGAGTGAGTATTTCTGAAACTACATTCTTTTCGAAAACTTCTGCTCTTGTATTTAAGTGTGTACTATATATTTTATACAGATGATTCATTAACTCAATTTCCATCCCTACAGTTATGAAAGATTTCATGCAAAGGTCATCAAAAGCAGGCAGACCAACTCTGAGGCCGTTTTGATGGTCAATCTCTCATTTCTCATTCAGTGCAGGTGGGTGTCGCTTATATTCAGCTGAAATATCATATTTAACTTTTTTGAATTTGTATTGAGTTTATTTTTTTCTCGCAGGGACTATATTACAAAGAATGCACATCTGTTCCTGGAAGATGTCAAAACAAATTGTCTGTCTTTATTGACTACCATGACAGAAAGCAGCACAAATTACTTTACTTCTAATATGCATAAGGAACTTAAGGTAAAAGCTAAATTTTATTTCTTTCTTTCACTTTTATGTAGCCTATTAAAAAAATGGCCCTATTTTTGCTAATGCTCTGTCAAACTTTTCAACATTAATGCAGTATATCCTACAACAACAACTTAGCAGGACATCATTTGCTTATGATCTATTGTAACCAGAGTTCATATCCTCACAGCAGTGTTACAGTGTAAAAGAAATTAAATTAACTTATACATGGTTTAAGTAAGTTTTTAAGTAATGTAAATAATAATGTTATGTGAATAATAGAAATGTTAATGCATTGAAATGTATAAAATTAAAGTTTGGGTAAATAGCATCTAGGTCATTTATGGGTATTTTTGCTAGAAATGTAAAAAAAAAAAAAAGTTTTATTTTTATAATATAGAAAAATATATTCACAACTGATCAAAAGTTTGGGTTCATTAAGATTTGTAAAATGTTTTTGAAAGTATCTGTAATTTATGTAATTTATTCCTGTTATGGTAAAGCTGAATATCCAGCATCATTGCTCTAATCTTCAGTCACATGATCTTTCAGAAATCACTCTAATATGGTGATTTGCTGCTCAAGAATTGTATTATATCAATGGTGAAAACAGTTTTGCTGCTTACAATTTTATTTTTTTATTTCACGATTCTTTGATTTAACAGAACAGGATTTGTTTGTAATATACATATTTTAAAACAGTATAAATGTAAATACATTTACTCCCATGTTTGATCAATTTAACACATCATTGTAATTAGAAATTATGACCCTATAAACATTTTACCCAAAATAGTAACTGCTGAACTTCATATTTTCACACTGAAGTATGTACATGTTAAAATACTAAATTGAGTAATGGCTTATAAATGACCCAGACCTCAGACTACTAGACCGTCACAATAGACCTTCATTGTTTTCAAAAACCCATTGAGGTGGTTTATCTTGGCAGGGAATACATCCATGTGAGCAGTTGGCTGCCGACCGGGTCCTCATTCTTCAGTTATACAACAAGCCACACTTTTACCTTTTATTAACTTCTTGTCTAGTTCATATGAGAGGACTACATAAATAATTACTCAAGCAAGCCTACATCATGACCAGATTCGCAATATTAGTTTTTGTATATGCATTAAAATATGTGTCAATACATCTGTTCCTGCAGGATTTGTACAGGAAAGTGGGTTCCTACCAGTGGCTCAAGGATAGTCATGGTGTATGTGAAGAGATACTTGCAAAGCTGGAAAAACATATTCAGAAATTCAACAACTTGGACAAAATGTGTTGCCAGGTATGAACATATAGATCAATCAAAATATTGACTTCTTTATTTGCTGTATATTTAATTGGTCATGATTGATTGATTGATTTGATGATTAGGAGCTATTGGATAGGATGCATCAGGAGTTTCTTGCGGAATATGTACGGAAAATGATGAAACAAAAGATCACACTTTCAAATAAAGATCAGCAACAGAGGGCAGCATCAGAACTGTGCTTAAACAGTGAACGCATACATGCATGCCTGACTGCAGCTGTAAGTACACATGCAAAAAAACATCATAAATAAAGCTTAAATTTGTATTTTCTTTCTTTTTGTTAAAATACAAGTTTAAATTGCAGAAACCACAGAACTTATTTCCTTATAAACAAATATAATGATCCCTTTTGTAACATGGCATTGTCTAATTTTCCTCATTCATTCATTATTTCCAGGGATCAAAGATGGATTGGTTGAAAGACATTCTTCCCAGATTGGCAGAACTTCTGAAATTACAGGATCCAGACAGTATAAAGTTAGAGCTTGTAAACCTGATGAGTGATTACCCTGATCTCAGGTATAGTGGATTCTGCTGTGGAGTTATTTTGCCATGAACTAGCGTTGCACTTTCCTCATGTCTCTTTGTTTTTACAGTCACCGTCATATTTCTGCTTGGCTGAGACTCAAGGGAAATCTTTCTACATTAGACTTTAGGAACATCCGGGAGAGCGTCACTTGCAGCCAAGATCAAATCAAAGAAAAGAGCGATTCGCTCCAGTTTAGCAGGAGCTTCTTTTCCATAGTGAGGATTAAATGAATTTCGTTTCATGACATTCGAACATTGCTTATGTAGATTTGCTTGCTTTTGTGGAATTGCTTGCGCTCAGGTATCGTGCAATTATTTTGTATATAATGAAATCCTTTGTGAAATAAAATGGCAAATTTTTATGTTTTGTGTTATTCCTTTAACAATAATAATACATTTTATTTATAGGCCACTTTAACGTGATTAGATCACAATCACAACACACCGGCCCAAACTAACCAATCTGAGCCCACTGCCTGTTTCTGAGGGAGTGGTTTCATAGAACAAGGAAGTCAAGCGGCTGACAATAAAGGTGAAATTTATGAAAAAAAAGACTTTAAAAAAAAGAAAAAGCACAAATACATGTTATATTGCACACCATAAACACAATCATGCAAAGAAAAAAAGCAGTAAAACACCCCTTTAACAATACCCTCTTCTCCAGTTTCTCATTGTAATTTGGTTATATAAAAAAATACATTTTATTTATAGGCTACTTTGGATAGAAAAACTATGGATTGATCAATAGTCATAGAGAAGCTATCAGATTTTAGACGAGTGGATGTTGTACCTACCAGGATATACCTGAATTGCAGTAATTGAGAGAATTTCTGCTAATTGTCTTAGTATCAGAATCAAATAATTCCAGTACACACATCCTAATTGTTCCTTTACCGCTATGTATGATAATTACTGGTTATGAGAATGCCCATTACAGGATGCCCATAACAGGATATGGTGTGAAAGTGTCAAGTAGTACTATTCCAAGTTACCGGTGCAGTTAGGAAACACATCTGCTGTCACAATGGATGTGTAGTTCCTGATAGACTGAAGATTTCCCGACAAACCTAATCCCGAACACAGGATGTGGTTTTAGTGTATTTATTTTTACCTCCTGCTTCCTATCCTTGGAAACGAACTGTCAATCAGCCATACACACGCAATGCAAATGCATAACCATGAAGATATGAGACAACATCAATACTCTGTGAAAATTATTTTATCGGAAAAAAACATTAAAGAATCAAAAAAGGGCCATTTATGTCTTTATTGAGGTACCAAAGGCATTTATTGAATTATGATTTGTACCACATTTATAAGTCACATAAAATCATCTCCCAAATGAATAAAAAAAATGCATTCTATTTTCAAATGAAAATACATTTATATTAGAATAAATACCAAAATTCAACCAATATAAATATTAAATAATTTTACAATAACATTTTTAAAAAATACATAGTTTTTAATTAACAAAGAATTTTCATTAAAAAAAAACACTAAGTATCAAAAAAAGTAACATTTTTATGTCACCTGCAGTTGTGCGCATATTGTGATGGCAGAAAAACAGCGGTAACAAGTGGAAGGAAACGGACAAAATCCACAGAATAAGAGAAAAAAATGTCTTGTGCTTTTGGATTTTGAATTAACTGGAATGCAAAAAAAAAAAATAATCATTATCAAAAGATGCTCATAAACAGGGTCATTTATGGTTACAAGCCACAAACTGAACTGATGAAACCTGCGATGAGTAGTCTACTATTAAACCAATGTGATGTAAACAATAGCTTTACATTGCATGCAGTTTACATTTAAACCTATAATAATTTTATCTCCAAATTCTGACTTTGTAACTCACAATTGTGAGGAAAAAAGACTTTAGGATGAATGAAATGAAAAAAAGAATTTATATCTCACAATTCTGATTTTTCTTCTCAGAATTAAAAAGACATAAACTCAAAATTTCCACTTTTATTCCAGACTGCAGCTGTAGAACTGTCCTTTTCTGCCAACAAAACACGCCATCGCTGTTTGCAAACATGTAAACGGTCTTTAAATACATTATTTCCTATTTCAAGTAAAATCAAATTGGTCATTTGACACAAATATGTATAAAAAAAAATTAGAAACATTAAAAAAAAGAAACAGTCATGCCATGTAAACACTTGTAAACAAAGGTTTTGGTCTGGCTCGTGGTGTTATTCATATCAAAGACAACAGCAAAAGCCCTTCAGGGAATGACGGGTGACACATCTGGACTTTGGCTTTGGATCCCGGATCCCATCCAGTACGTCCCTCACCACATCCAGTACTTCCCTCACCTGTCGCTCTGATAACACCCCCTTCCAGCGCAGCAGACCAGGTACATACTGCTCACTGCAAAACATTCAGAAGACTTCACTGCACTTTTTGATGAAAACAAAAGTACTCATTTACTTTGAATATTACAAATGTTATGCAAAGACAGTTGAATGTTATTGGCTGAGTTTACCTGTCCTTTGGGAAACTTTGGGAAACATCACAACAGATAACCTTCAGTGCATCTACATCATTGCAAAGCACAACTTCACTCAGTCTCTGAAGGAGCTGGTTCCTCTGGTCATCACTGCCGCTCTGCAGGAAACAGATACATTGTCTATGAAAATACTGCATTGTGTTGATGCTGTGGCTAATGTGCACACGAGTCATACTCTTGGGGATTATCTGATTGTTACTGTCAAAGTTCTTTTTAATTCAGTATCTTGTTAAAGACATTAAAATACACAATTTCAACGCATTCTCATCTCAAGGCGTCATATACGACACTTTTGCAAACGCGTAAACATCCAACGCACATGGCACCCTTTAGCGTCAAATGAGATGCTTCGGTAATGGGTTTAGGTGTGGGGTAGGGTTAGGGTTTGACCACTTGAAGGCGCCTTCTGCCCCATATATTTCTGCGTCTCATTTGACGCCAAAGGGTGCCATGTGCGTTGGATGTTTACGCTTTTGCAAAAGTGTCGTATATGACGCCACAATTTCGGATAGAACAGCTCAAAGTGGAGCATGGGTTGTCATCTCTTAATCAGTCCTTACAGTTTTTTTGTGATTGTTGCGGGCAAAAATTATTATGATTATGCGGCCCGTTTTCTTTAAAAAAATGTGATGGAATATGTGGGATATTTATGCAATTTTATGCAATGAAATTGCAGGACCTTGCAAAAATTGTGGTTTGGTGAGGAAGAGAAAAAAAAGTGATTCCCCCAACACCCTGTTCTCACTAGGCTACCACCTTAATGTAAAGAGTCATTTCTTATTACTTCCTATAAGTAATATTACTAATATTATGTAATAAGTCGCCCCCCCCCCCCCACACACACACACACACACCCACACCCACACACCATCATTAACATTAGTTACTGCATTTCCCACAAGCCTTGTCAGCATTCATCACTGGTTCCAGCACTCAGCTGTTCCCCATCATGATTACTTGTCTCTGTGTATTTTACCCTGTATGTTTTACGCTATGTTTACACGGAACACGATTCTGAAGAGAAAACGAAAAAGTTGCGTTGCGTCATCACTTTTTATTCTGCGTTTAGACGAGCGTTTTGTGTGGGAAATCCGCGTGCAGGTGACGCAATATAGTGTGAAATTCAATGTAGTATGCACTTCAGGCGGCTAGGAATGCATACTACAACAACACCAAGTCCACGCGCTTGCGTACAACCTTCACTTTCAAGCAGAAAGTGTTTTTACCATTTACACGGGAGTGGAGCGTTTTTAAGATTTCCACTCTGGAGGGTGGTTTCACTTTTTTTGCGTTTTTAAGCCCCAAAAACGCCGTCGCCGTGTAAAAGCACATCCGATAAAATATTTTTACGTTTTCACCCGCGAGAGTTCGCGTGTGGAAACAGGGCCTTAGTGTTTGTCACTGAGTCGTTGTTATTCATCACACCACATCTGAGGTCTGTTTCTGCTTTGTGCTAGTTTGTTTATTATGTTTTTGGATCGTGTATTTGGATTATGACCCCTGTCTGAACTGGTTGATGAGTTTTGGATTTCCCTTAATAAATACAACTGCCTTTGTGAATGTGGCTTGTGACAACTACATCACAGAAAGTGCTGGGAATATTTAAGTTCTCATCTTGTTTTATTTCAGCCGCTCGAGTTGATGCTGCTTCCTCGAGCCACTCCACTGCGGACAGCAAGCCAAATACGCTTAACCTTATCAGCTTAAAGATGATGGCAACGGAACTTGCGAACTACTGGATCATTTAGTTTGAATTGCATCATTTGCTTCAGTAAGTTAAGTTGTTTTTACTCATATACCGAATTGTAACTTGAACATGCAATAACTGGGCCTTTGTATTCATCCTGATGAGATGGAAACAGGAAAATACCCCTAAAAAACTTTTTAAAGTGTTTTTTTTTTACCAGTTCAGTGAACGTGTTGTGAAAATTGAGAGCATCCTCTCTCATCCTTTCTCCAACATTTCCCCATCTCTTTTCAAGCCGCTTGATCTTGCTCTTCATCAGGCAATCCAGATACACGCGTGAAACACAGTCGTAGGCGACATCCACAAAGATCTATCAGAAAGAAAGAGGGGCAGAAGTGTGAGTTATGTAAAGTTAAAGTTCTAGCCTATTGTTAAAGAATTAATTTTGAGTGGGTTTATGAATACAGAACCAACCTCTTGAATCTCCTTTCCCACGTCATTCTGAGGCAGAGACGCACACTGCTTTAGGATTGCCTTTGTCAGGGTATGAATTTGTTCATATCCCTTTTTGAAATAACCTCTCAAACTGTCCTGGAAATGTATATTTACAGAATAAATATAGTAATTGCCTATTATTTCTCTAGGATAATGTCAACTTATAATTGGTTACTGTAAAATTGTGGTTGAAATGCTTGAAAAGCATTGTTCATTGTTAGTTCATGATGTCTAATCCATACTAAGTACACAAATTTAACCTTGAACAATGAAATGTAAGCATGCAAGCAAACAAAAAAAATATTTCATTATTTCTGGGACATTCCATTTTAGGAATTCTGTTCATTTGGGAAATCCCCCAACTTTCCTTCCATGCATAAACTGTTGATGATGAAATAATGACATACCTCTGCTAAGTGTTTCATCATCTTTTGTACAATAGACAAAACGTGATCCTCCATCTCCTTTAATATGCAGCAGATGAGGTTTAATAGATCGTTGTTTATACCTGGTGTGTTGAGTTGGGGAGCAAAGAATCTAAACGGCAAAATAAATATAAGAACAAAACTGGTTTTACGAAAGAACTACCGTTCTGTGGTTACCTTTGTGCATAATGCAGTTATACAGAATGATTCAGAATTGAATGCATATAAAGCCACTTATTAATTTGTACAGGTTTTGAGTGATAAATAAAGTTATTATTGTATTAATCATTAAAAATAAAACTCACCTGAGTTGCCTACAGGTGCTGATGACTCGAAACAGGTACACAAAGTTTGTTTTCAAGGGTTTCCAATTTGTTAGGTGTTTTTTCTCTGCATCCACATACCTAGAGAACATATGAACAAGTAAAAGTTCATATTAATATTATATAAGATAATAAAAAGACAAACACGTTTTATACACTTACTTCCGAACAAAACAATGAAGCTCTTCGAGACAGAGATTTTGTGCCGTACACACAAAGGTCTTACTAAATGCTTCAGAGTTTACAAGAACAGCATTCAGACACTGAAAAGACATAACAACATAAATTATGTGTGAAATGCATATTTTGAAACATTTTTGAAGGATTGTGCATTGTTTTCTCAACCTGAGTGACATCTATGTGCACTCTGATGAATCTTTCTTCATCCATCGATTCCTCATAATGTCCATGTTTCTCATCAAAGTGCAGGATGTTCTGTAGAGTCTCAGAGATGTCATTCTGTGGCATTTAAAATGGGACAGAGAGTCATGATTCATGTCCTTCCTAAATATTTCGCTTCCTCCTTGTTAGCCTAATACATTGATAATGCTTTTAACAATTAAAGGTGGAGCATATTATTACCTTTAGTATTGGCAGTAGTTTCCTTATTGCTTTCTCAAACCATCCCGTCAACAGCAGAGGGTCATGCACTCTGACGACATGCTGTGAATCTGGACTGTAAAAAATTAGATCATATATTCATCAACAGCTCACGCTTCATTTGTTTATTACAAGCAGATTTACGGAAAAGTAAACATCATACCTGAAGAAAACATCTTTCCCCCACCGTAAAAGGCAGAAGGTCTCTTTCACAGACAGATCTCTGTTTAGGAGCAGGTCCAACTTGAGAAAGAGGTGACGGCTGTAACTGTCAATCAGATGATCTAGCAGCCCAGTATCTTCCAGTACAGGTGTTAATCGAACCACCTCATGGCATATCACGGTGTGTGTGCTCTTTAGAAAGTCGTGTAACTGCTCTGACTGAGATCCTTGTGGTCCCTCTACTGGCAGCGTGGGAATGTGGTTTTCCACAAACTGATCTATTTCTTGAAGACACTCACAGAGCCAGTTTTGTGGGAAGCTGCCTTCTTCATTGTCTATGGTAACACTGTTCAGTTTGCCCCATCTTTTCAACACCTCAGCTGCCTTGTCAAGGTCCTCAGGGTTTGATTGTTCACTCAGAATCTTTCTGAGAATTTCAAGCACTTGCTTGCCACTCACTTCAACATCTGGACCTATTAGATCCATATACATTCGTCCAGACTGATCTGAACTTTCCATGTATTCAAACGTCTGTTCCCCTGTTAAAAGCAGTGACAAATAAGAGTGTGCATGATAAGAAAATTGTATAAAGCTAAAGCTTTTATAAAGATGTTCCAAGATCTTAGAAATATAATTTGTGCATTGATTTTGGTTTCATATTTTGAAAACATTTAAATGCTATTTTCAAGAAAAGTGTAAGTCGTCAAATTAAAAGTTTTCCTTACACCTGTGAAGCAACAGATTGAACATTATTTCAAAGATCATGAATTATTCAGTTATAATTATCATTTAGTTTTTGGGGAGTCACTTATAGTAGTGTTGTTTTTGGTTTTAGTCTAGTCTTTGTTTCAAGCTGTCATTTTAGTTTTTATTAGTTTTAGTCACGTTCATGCTCTTTTCAGTCTAGTCTAGTTTTAGTCGACGAAAACTGATGACATTTTAGTCTAGTTGTAGTCGACAAAAAACAGTCTCGTTTTAGTGAATGGAAATTGTATTTTAGTCTTGTTTTAGTAATGCAATTCTATTTCACACTGTCAATATTGTATACGTACCTAGTAGTATAGAAGAAACCAACATAGCCAAACCCATTTCAAGCAATCTTAACTTCTTACTCACCACATAACATTTTACAACTTAAACTAACCGTGTCTTATCATAAAAGGTTATATATTTTAAGAGATATTTTGGGTCTGATATTTTAAGAGACTTGTTGACCCTGTCTGACACATGGATACAGATGTATGAGATGTTGATGTCATTTCCTGTTTGTTATCCTGCAGATTGGTTGCACCACATTAATATATTTGAATAAAGTCCTTTTATGAAAGAGGCCTGTTATGAGAGGCTTTTTATCAAAGGTCAATCACTCTGATATTTTAATGTTATAACCTCTAAAATTATTATTATTATTATTATTTTAAATTAATTACATTACATATTTAAGCCATATAAGGGAATCACATTTTAATGCATTTAAAAAAATAAAAAAAAGAAATATGTAAACAAATGAGAGTAATTTAATCCAAAAGCAAGTGGAAATGTATTCCCTTTGAAATATCGTGTAACCCTAAGCTTAAACGTGATTCATCAAACCAGGCAAATATACAAAGCATGAAACAATATCCTCGCATAGTATCCCAATGGAAACATGTTGGCTTTTCTGACAAGATGCAAAGATTAAGTTTCAAATCAATGGCTATTATAAATGAAGAAGAGAGTGTCTTACCATCTGTCTGCGTTCTGTTTTTCATTAAAGGTTTCTCTTCATTCCCATCCTGTTTTTTCCCCTTCAACTTATTGTAAAGTAGCCCTATTTTTGATTGCTTCAATGACATACTTGACTGAGGCAAATAAAGAGCTTGCTAGTTCTGCAGTACTGTGCATCAATGGTGAGATTTCAGTGCTTAAAACAGGTGCACTTATGGGAGTTTCCCCTAGAATTAGAAAAATCCAGCCAATGGATTTGCAGCTTAGCCATTGGTTGTTTGGTACTTTCCTCACATCTCACAGATTCCATGTCCTTGGACTACCAGGCTTTTCTGACGCTATGTATGAAGAAATGAAAGTGAAACCCATTCTCACACTGTCCTCACATTACAGATTCCTCAGCCTTGGCCCAACTGGAGGCTCTGACACCAAGAGTAAATAAAAGTGCTCTTTGGTTGTGCCATCCTAAAGTAAAACCAGGACAGCACTTTTTATTACACTGTGCCATACTTACAATTTTAAAGACCATTTATAGTGGCAAGAAGATAAATCTTACAGGGAAAGTGAAAGTGAAAATGAAATTAAAAACACGCAGTCCTTAGAAGTGCCATGGGAGTATTGAGCCAACACGTGGTAGATTGTGTGGAAGTGAGGTAATACTGAACACATATTACACCCCTGTTACTATATGAGATTATTATGGTGACAAACCAACAGACATTGGAGACTTAAATAGTGCTTTAAAGCCTGCCCCACTGTATTATATTTGACCTCTAAATATCAAAATGATAAAAACTTTTACTGAAAACCCTGTTATACATAATCTTCTACGTGCCATCTGTCATCTGATTGGCTGTTTATAATTTTTTAAAGGGGTTTTATTATTCATCCATTCATTTAAATTCCTCCCCCTTCAGGTTGTTGTACATGTCTTTTGACTGTGAAATCTTTATTGATTTTTATAAAGTACACATAGGAATAACTTATGCCAGTAATATTTCAAGATGAACACTTGACTGAAGCAACTTAGCTTTATTGATTAATCACATCATTTTTTAGAAGAATCGTGTGAATGTCAATGAATGGCTGTAGTGAACGTACATGACAGAGGAGTTACATTACAAAACAGTCTTTAATAAATAAAGGAGGAACACTCAGGAGAATAAATCAAATGCAACCACATTAACATTGAGAATATGAGACATTAGAATGAAGGAAACAAAAGCCTAAACACACACAGGGATAATTAACATAACTATATGAACACATGAGAACTCAAACACATCAATGAAGACAAACTAGCAAAGGGAACACAGGCAAACAGAAACAAAACTGAGCATAATCATTACATTTATAATGCAAGAATCAAATATGATGCATCAGGATCTTGAGGAACAGGTATCTCTCAATTGTCATTGGATTGCATTTGCATTATATGTTTTGAGTAAAATCTATATGCATTTTATGTGGTCCTCAATATTAGACCTCAGAATTTTATCTTACTTTTTGGCCATATACATATGCGCACATTTTTTCCCTCAGTTTGGGCCTCTGAATAAAAACAAATATTTTTTTTTACCTAATTGAGTATGAGATCTATATTCTCTTATTTTTAAGTAATAAAATGCTGACGTATCAAATATGATACTTAACAAACTGTTCCATTTAAAAAAACGGTTTGACCTTATGACTATTAGGCTTTACAGGGTTAATTAACCGCATTTCCATTTGGACACTTCAGATCGGATTATTTAAAACACATACAGTATCAGGAGGAAACAGTGCCAGTTTGTGTACAGTTTGCACATAATAAGGCAAGGCCTAGGCTATACCAACAAATAGTAGGCTACATTTTTTGTGTTTTTAGTATTTCAGACAGACTGGGAGATAAAGTCATTAGAGTAGCTCTGATGCCTGCATTATGTATAGGTGTGAAAGAAATTAAAAATTAAAATTATTAAAAAATGTACATCCGATCAGTTTTGAATTCTAGAAGGTAGAAATAGCACAATGTTTGGAGAACATTCTCCATATCTGACCATTACCAACTCTAGAATTTGGGTTTGTCATAAACAAGGGTAAAGGTTTACTGAAAAAGTTTATATTGCATTTGCAAAGTTACTTAAAGTCAATAAATTTAATATCTTGTGGGGTACCACCAATGTAAGGTGTTAGCAAATCTTAAATTGACCTTCATTTTCAGCATCTGACATCCTTGGGCAGCAATAACATTTCAGATATGCAAAGTTGGCTTGGGGGAACTTTATAAAACTGATTCAAGCCAATGATGTTAATAGGTCAAGAGGCATCTATTTTTAGCAAGCTATTTACCAAAAAATAAGGAAAAGCCGAAAGAGCAAGTGGTGACACTCTGACTTCTAGGATTTGGATACAGGTCCCGGATCACATCCATTATTTCCCTAACCTGTCGCTCTGATAACACTTCTTTCCAGCGCAGCAGACCAGGTACATACTGCTCACTGCAAAACATTCAGAAGACTTCACTGTTTGAAAACTCTCACACAATGAAAATAGATGCATTTAAAGACCTGTTTGAAACTGTAGTGAAGTGTTGATGACTGGTCTGGGTTTACCTCTCATGTGGGAAATCTCTGAACAAATCACAACAGGTAATCTTCAGTGCATCTACATCACTGCAAAGCAAAACTTCACTCATTCTCTGAAGGAGTTGGTTTTCCTGGGCAACGCTGCTATTCTGTAGATAGAAAACATCACGGGTTACTTCCTGAGAAGGGAACGAGATGCTGTGTCTTCCAGCGTGATAGTGTCTGAGGCATGTGTGGAACTAGTGTAATCTTGATTGGTGTTGCGTCATGTGATGACGTACACTGAAGCTACAAACGGAGAGCCAGGCAAACAACAGTGTTAGCTTCTGATAGGTCGAAGCAAGTCGTTCTCAGGCACTCAGGGGGCGTGGTAAAGGGAAGCAGCGTCTCAGTTCACTTCTCAGGGAACAAGTATTACAGTCGTAACCAGAGGTCACGCTGTGTCGAAGACGTCACTTTGGGGAACGAAATACCCAATGCACCACAATGACTAGTGCTTGTCTTGGTGTGAAGCTTGTCAGACACAGCTCAGGACATGAGGACTTGTGTCCCAGCAACCAGCATGGAGGGCAAATCCAAGCTATAAAATCTAAGAAGGTGAAAAAAAGCAGGGCTTTTGAGAATGCCACTCCTCTAGTGGAGTGGGCTCTTATCAGGAGAGGCGAGGGCTTTAAAGGAACACCAGGACTAAAGCCACTGGGCAGTTAACGGGGTAAAAAGTTCGGAATTACTATTATTTTTAATGTTTTAGAAAGAATGTTGTCTCGTTTGCTCATCAAAAATACAGTAAAAACAGTAATATTGTGAAATATAGTTATATTTATAATGTTAAGTCATCTGTTGTCTATGTGAATATATAGTAAAGTGTAATTTATTCCTGTGATTTTCAGTCTAACAGGCGTTCTCTGCACCATAAAACGAACACTTTCCACTTTAAAGTGTCCTCAACATGTCTGCTCACAAATTTTAGTTTACCCAGGAATGTACATTGCTCTGAAAGCAAGTTTCCCTGGGACCACAGGAGAACCTGATGCACAGAGGGCGTGACGTCAGGCCTCCCTGCCGATGTGTGTAGTAAACATTTGTGTAGTTAATTCATTTTTAACTCTGTCTCTAGAAAATAAAGAAATAAGAATGTGCATCAGGTGTGTTTTGAGCCAATAGACTGAGCTAGTTGACCAATCAGAGCACATTATGCATTATGGAAGGAGGGGCTTCAAAGAGATAGAAACTAAACATAGCGTTACTGACAGACTGTGATCAGAGGTGCTGCAACAATGTAAAAAAAAAAAAGAATTCACCAGTGCAGAGAATTTTTTGTGTAAATGTTGAGCATCCTCTTTTATCTTGTCCTTAACATTTCCCCAAAGCTTCTCTAGCTTTCTGAACTTTGTCTTCATCAGGCATTCCAGGTACACTTTGGAAACACAGTCGTAAGCTATTTTCAAAATGATCTGTCGGAAATAAAGGAATTGTTGAAAAGAATTAAGGTGAGATATGGAGTTTGAATCTGATTGGTTTTAAGTTCATATACAGTGCGTACCATTTTGATCTTTGAGGCCCTCGGAGGCAGAGATGCACGCTGCCTATGGATTGCCTCTATCAGAATATCAACATCCACACACTTTTTCTTGAAATAACTTTCTAAATTGGCCTAAAAATGAACATTCAAAGACAAACAGTAAAGACAGAGGCATGGAAAAATATCAAATGAATTTTATATAGATTAAATAAACCCAATAAGATGTTAAAGATTTCTCAATACTGCAGACGTACTTAATTACAAGTGCATGATAGTAATCTTTTCTTCTGAACAGATGATCATAAACACATTTGTTGAAATAATCAAGACATACCTGTGCTAAGCATTTCATGGTCTTTTGTACAATGGATAAAGCCTTATCTTCCAGTTTCTGTAGCATGCATGTAGTTCTTGAGACATCATCGCTGTTAATTTTATCTGGACTGATTTGCGTAGCGCAACATCTGTAGTAAAATAACACTGATTTTTATGACAAAACAGGAATTGCATGGTAAAGGTTGTAGGGTTAACTTTTATTGTGATCATGCGAATCAATACATTTATGATAGGGAAAAGCAAGCTAATTAAAAGTGCACTAAAAAGTTCACATACAAAAGTTTTTCATGCAAAAGAAATTAATATTTGCACACTTTTTTAACACAAGGGCTGTCCACAATGGTTATTGATACAATATTTTAGCCAAAAATGGCAGTCAAATATTAGTCACTTTATCTGAATATAACTGAATAAATCAATCAAGAATGAGAAATGTCTTGACATTTTCATAATGCCGAATTAAATTATACTATATATTACAGTTTCTGAGACATGAAAGTATACATCGCTCATTAGTAAATACCTGAGTTCCATACAAGTGTAGATAATCCGAAACAGATACACAAAGTTCTTCTCAATGAACTTTAGTTTTTTTAGACCTTTATTCTCAGTATCCACATACCTAAGAAAACACATATTTAAGTGTTTTGTCACAACCCCCCCCCCCCCCCCCCCCTCACCCACAACCATGCACTAGAAAGATAATCGTTTTAGGTAAGGGGTAATATAAGATGAGGAGAAACCTACTTCTGAGCAAACGCATGCAGCTCTTTACTACAGAGTATTTGTACTGCATGCATAAATGTCAGACCAAAACTTTTAGCATCTAAAATAGCACAATTCAGGCACTGTGAAGGCAAAGCATGAAATGTGTTAGCAATATATTATAATTCCTTTAATGACACCTTTCTTGCTTTACTTTCTCTTTCCAAGAGCTACCTGAGTGACATCTATGTGAAGTCTTATGAACGTTTCCTCATCCATTAAATCCTCATTATGTTCCTCATCATAGTGCAGGATGTTCTGTAAAGTCCTAGAGATGTCATTCTGTTGCAATTAAAGTTGGACAGAGACGTGTGTGTTACATCTCTCTTGTTTTGGGCCCTTTCATGCATTACTGAGATATTAGTCTGAGAGTCAAATTAAAATAACACTCAAACAGTCATAAACTGTGAAGTCATACATACCTGAAGTTTTTGAAGCAGTTTCTGCTTAGCTCTCTCAAACCATCCTGTCAAAAGCAGCAGGTCATACACTTTCAGTTTTGAGTCTGAACTGAAAGATAAATGAGTAAATGAGTACATAAGTCTCTTTCACTCTTCGGGTCTGCATTTATTTCTTCAAAAATAAAGCAAAAAATAGTAATTTTGTGAAAAGTACAACACAAAAAGTATCCTTTTTTTAAATCACAGTGACTCCAGATGTTTGAATGGTAGTTTCAACATGCAGTTCAAATTAAATTGTTTGTTTGTATATACAAATTTTACATTTACAACAACTTTGCAGTGCATACCTGAAGAAAACATCTTTCCCCCACTGTAAAAGGCAGAAGGTCTCTTTCACAGACAGATCTCTGTTTAGGAGCAGGTCCAACTTGAGAAAGAGGTGACGGCTGTAACTGTCAATCAGATGATCTAGCAGCCCAGTATCTTCCAGTACAGGTGTTAATCGAACCACCTCATGGCATATCACGGTGTGTGTGCTCTTTAGAAAGTCGTGTAACTGCTCTGACTGAGATCCTTGTGGTCCCTCTACTGGCAGCGTGGGAATGTGGTTTTCCACAAACTGATCTATTTCTTGAAGACACTCACAGAGCCAGTTTTGAGGGAAGCTGCCTTCTTCATTGTCTATGGTAACACTGTTCAGTTTGCCCCATCTTTTCAACACCTCAGCAGCCTTGTCAAGGTCCTCAGGGTTTGATTGTTCACTCAGAATCTTTCTGAGGATATCAAGCTCTTGCTTACCACTCACTTCAGATGTCATACTTATGTCACCTTTTATGTTCTCCTGCAGTGAATTTATGTGCGTTAATTGCTTTTGAAATGTTAGATTTGTGTGTGAAACAACATGCAAAAAGACAGCACCATGTGTCCACTTTCAAAGGAGTATACATCAATTCTGCACCGCCCATTTTTAGGCAAACTCTAATTTAAAAGCCGAATGAACTATTCAATGTAGAAAACGTTTTGTATGAGCAACTTAAAATATTAAAAAAAGCAATTTTGGTGAAGAGGGTTCAACTACAAGCTGCTGATCATGCTCAGTTTGATCACAGATGATGCACTTAGATAATGTGTTTTGGTCAAAGCATGTGGACTTTGACATAAATGTTTGTTTTTCAGAAATGGTTGGTGTTTAAGCATTATAGTTAAGTTTCTTCCATTTCAATAAGTAGCCTGGCTATATAACTTGTTTTGGTGTGGAAATAATTTTATCAGGTTGCATAAAACAAACACACTATTATGTAATATTAATGCTCAGTTTAATGTGAAATGTAAGTGTATAAACTTTAAAAAATTTAAGTGTACAAAATGTTTCATACTATGCCCAACTTTAATTATGTTGATATTTAAATGTTTCTATAATCAAAAAAGTCATGCAAAAGGTTACCTCGAGTTACTCTTCACAGAAGTCAGTCAGAAATCCATAAGCAAGAGTTTAATCAAAAAACAAAAATACAAAATCCTGTTGGCTCCTGTATTCTATGATATTACAATTGTTAAACCTCTATCTTGTGTGACCTTAAATGTTTAAACACAAGTTTTATACATAAATGACAAAACTGAGAACACCCGTAACCTGTAGAAAACTGGTTCTTCTTTTTTTTCCCTGCCCTGTTTTATCATGACTACACAGAGTGGGCGGGGCCATTAAAGAAATAGAACAGAAAGTATACATCAGAAAACATTAGAAATAATATTGAAAAAAAATATCATAAATATCAGAATATTACCTCTCAAAGAAAGTTTTAAAAAAATCATTCTTTCAGTTACTGCATGCAAAATCAACACTCTAAGCAAACAATAATAGGCTATACAAATTACTGAAATATTAAATTGGCTCTTACAGCCCCTAATTGTCATTGTGTTCAACAAAACAATTACCAACCTATTTATATAAAAGAGCTTACCGGTAATGTGGTTAAATAAGATCACAGGTGTAGCATGTTTGGTATCTAGGACTCCATTTTCCTTCCCTATTTGTTAATTTACATTAAATGTTAATTTACATTACATTTTTGCTAAATCTGTGGCAAATTATTATGAGAATACCAATCTTGAAGTCAATCCAATTTCATTTGTAAATACGCTAAAAGACAAAAATTGTGAATCTGATTTGTATGTGGTGACTACATGAAGCCTAATTCCAATGACTTGGGTAGCTTGGGTACAGTAGCCTAACTGCTATAGCCTGAACTCCCCTCTTTTTTCTTCAAAATAATCTTTAAAAATGACGTTGCATTTTCTTTGATGCAAAGAAGCTTCAATTAGGCTAACTTACATAACATATATAAATCTCTATTGCGGGGTATGAGTTGTAACTTGCATGAAAAGAACGTAAACAGAAATAAAAACTGGTTATGTGATTCAGTGATGATTGACGTCAAAAGGACCAAGTCAGCGTTAGGAACTTGAATACAGAAAAGGATTTTAGCCAATGAATAGCCACGGTAGGCGGGGCTATGTGGCTCTCAAGCGAGGTACACGCCCATCATCAGCACTCACAACTCATTCTGCCTTTGCGTGGAGCAAAGAAGGTTCTGGAAAGGTAAGACGTGACATTAACCAATTTAAAACTACATGCTAGTAATTTAACACGTCTAAGACATATATCCGTAGTGTTTGAGTCTAATAAATGCCAAAGAGGTCGTTTGAAAAAACGTTTGTTTTCTTGTTATGACAAGAAAGCGGGGAGCTGCTTAGCTTTATTATCACAGCAAGTGTGTTGCCAAGTTTCCATTTGACAAATCTAACGTTAGTTTTTTTTTTTTTTCTAATCCAGCTTCTCTCCGGAAATCCGATAAGTTACCCTTCGACTGATCGGCTGCATCGCTCAGCACTTTCCAGGTTTTATCTCTCTGTACCCTTGTGTCGTGTTACATTCTTTGGATCACGACCCAACATATCCAGGCTTTCCACTGTCAACCCTTCACTCCGTCGGTGGACGACTAGCGTTGTGTTTATGTCTTTATTTTACGGAAACGGTGAGTATACGGCCGATCATTTTCATAAACTGCTTTGCCAATATCTATTACACATTTGTAAGTGCGTTTTGGGTTCACATGACTTGGAACCGAGTGTTTTGGTGGTTTTTATAACTAGCTAATGGGTGTGAACTAGCTTGACGGATGAGAACAAAATGGCGTCATGGTGCTTTTGCGCACTCCGCTGCGCGCTAACCGTGACGCACTCTGCACCACCGCGACGATCACACAACTTTACGACTGTTTCTGAGGTTTGGTAAAGCAAACTCGTATTTGCTGTGTTTAAATAATTAAGGGTGATCTAATGGCAGTCATCGCTATTCGACGTGTTTATTTCGATGTACAAATAGCGTAACTTATTGGGTTTAGCTCGAGCGGGTAACCATGTGTGTACATCGACCTTGGGTGCAATAACGTTACGTGCGACTCGGTACCTCACACAATTTATAAAGTTTGCGCATGTTAAAATATCGTTATACACTGAAGTGAGCTCTGAATATTTAACATTCTCTAATCGTTAATGTACTTTCAATGAGACTAATCGATAGACACGCGCATAATACTACGTGATCGTAATTTTGTTTTTTGGAAACCTTGTTCTGTCACGTAATTTACAGCTGTAAAATTTTCCTCACCACGTGTTCATTTGGCTTGAGTCATTCTAAAACCTGCTGACGCAGTCGATGACGTGGGTAGATGGGGTCTTGATCAAGGAAATTATAAAAAAAATACCTCTATTAAATTATTTAATTTAGTATGTTTTCCTGTAATAATGGATGGCAGAGAGAACATTTAAAAGTAATTTATTATATTTATTGTAAAATTAACTATATTGTAGCCTAACCACCATAGACATTTACATGGCTTTTTCCAGTAATAAGTTTTGTGACTGACTGACTATTTTTTTATGGTTTTTGACTCACGTAATTAATTATTGAATGTGACAAGACAAGAAACATTAACAGCCTTTTTTTCTTCATAATAATAATGAAATCACTAGTGAATGTGTGTTTTTAAAATACAAGTATTGTTTGCGAACAGTTAAAATATTACTACACCATAAAATTAATCTATTTCCTTAAAATGAGTCACTAAATGGTCATAAAAAAATGAATATCGTCTGTCTTGATTCACCTCCTGGATTGGTTATATTATTCAAATGTTGCACAGAATTAAATGGTGCTGTTGTACTAAATATCTGCACAGCTGCGGTTTTTTTTCTGTGTACAAAAATTGGCCAGTTAGTTTGTATATCTCTTCTGCCTACAAAATGGCCTTCAGAAACAATACAATGCATCAAGTGGAATGCCAAGTAACTTATCTAATTAAAAGAGTGGAAGTAACTGTTGTATAATAGTGCATTTCACTTTGCTTTTCAGAGCTGTTGCGCAGCTGTTGGAAAGCAAGCGGAGGAAACCTAGTCCACGAGCAAGGAGTTTGCAGCCACTGTGGCAAGATCTTTTTCATGTCAGAGACCGAGCACACTTGCAGTTGTTTATGTCATCCCCTCTTCTCCAGACAGAAGATACCCAAAAAATCCCATTCAAGATCTTCTTATCTTGCTGATAGTGCCTCAGCTCACTCAAAATGTCTGTCAACGTCAACCGCAATGTGTCGGACCAGTTCTACCGCTACAAGATGCCCCGTTTGATTGCCAAGGTACTCTAGAGATTTGTTTTGGTCTGAATGCTGTATAAATAGGATAGTTTCACTAATTATTTCTGTGTAGTAGAGTAATAATAATTTCTTATTGGTGTATCGGCAATCTGATATTCAGTTTTTTACAAACACATTAAATTCCTCATTTTTTCCCCACTGTCAATTTCATTTAATAGGTGGAAGGCAAAGGGAATGGAATCAAGACGGTCATTGTCAACATGGTTGATGTTGCAAAGGCACTGAACAGACCTCCAACCTGTAAGTTTGTTTTTACAATTAGTTATAACATAGATATTATTCTTTCAGTAGTGTTTCATTATTAAACAATTATGATTTTTTTTTCTTCTTTTTCATCAGATCCAACTAAGTTTTTTGGCTGTGAGTTGGGGGCGCAGACTCAGTTTGATGCTAAGAATGACCGCTTCATTGTAAACGGATCCCATGAAGCCAACAAACTGCAGGACATGCTGGATGGATTTATCCGCAAGTTTGTGCTGTGCTCCGAATGTGACAATCCTGAGACTGACCTGGTAAGTTGACAATCAGGGTTTTTGCCTGCTGAAAAGAAGTTTGTCCACTCGTGGTTAAAAATTAAAGATTCTGTTTACTTTTTCGTTTTGCTGTCGGTCAGATAGTGTTTGGAGAACATTTAGAGGTGTACTTAAACTTGTTTTTTTTGCCTTTTTGGGCAAGGCCAGTTGGTTTGTGGTGTTCTGTACACTTACCTTTGCCCTTTGACTTTCATAACGCCTACACAAAAAAAGATATAGAAAAGATGTCCATGCTTGTGAAAGCATTAGTTATTTGCTGTGTTAAAGCTCCAATTTATTTTTCTTAATGTTTTAGTCATTTTAGTACTTTAACATTTTATTTATTTAGGCTTAAAACAAACAACAAAAAAAGAAATATAAGGTTAATTTTTTTCATCTAATATATTTTATTGCAGCATTATTTCAATAAGCTCAAAGTCTGCAAATGTCTGCTGTATATGGGAGTGGTTTAAATTGTTCTTAAGTTGATTATGGCTGTTTTAGCTAACTTTAATTTACACAATTATCAGCGACTGTATATGTATTTTTTATTAGAAGCCTAAGAGAAACTGGTGATTTATATAATGTCAGTAAAACAATTGCAATACTTTGTAATAGCAAGTTTCTTCCATACTTCCACATTTTCTGTTATTATTTAAAAAGAAAATGCAATTGAAAATGGAAACCTTTGTTGTCAACAATTCAGAAATCCTTTTCAGAAACGGTCCTCATAGTATCTGTTTAATTTACAGCATGTGAACCCAAAGAAGCAGACCATCGGAAGCTCTTGCAAGGCTTGCGGTAATCAGGGAATGCTGGACACTCGGCACAAACTGTGCACATTCATCCTCAAAAACCCTCCTGGTGAGTTGTGGACTGTTAAAATGCTTCTGCTTCTGTTATTTACTATATTTAGCATCAGGAATGTATGCTTTGTTTGCCGTTAAAATTTCTTTAGCTTTATAGCTTTATAATCACAATTTTTAAGAGCTAATCTGTTTCAAAATGCAGAGAGTGATAGCAGTTGTGTGAAAGAGAAGAAGGAGAAAGAGAAGAAAAACAGAAAGAAGGATAAGGAGAATGGCTCTGGGAGTGGTGAGGCTGGGAACCATAACGACATAGATGCTCCAGATGCTGTGGTAAGAGATGCCCATGAACATGTTTTACTGTCATTTGTAAGCAGTACATTGAAGTGCATGTTTGTGGGGATTGTGTAGGATGGTGAGGAAGATGACGATGACTGGGCAGAGGAAACCACAGAGGAGGCCCAGCGTCGGCGTATGGAGGAGATCAGTGACCATGCTAAGAACCTGACCCTCAGCGAGGACCTGGAAAAACCCCTGGAGGAGAGGGTCAACATGTTCTACAACTTTGTCAAAGTAAATAATGCCACTCTTGGTTTCCAGTGTAAAAACACTTTTCTTATG